ACTACATAATCCCACAACATCGCTTATTCTGTTTGCGACTCAACTTATATAAACTCTTAGTCTGAAAGGATAAACTATCGGCTGAACTAATCAACTCATCTATCTTCTCTCCTCGGCCTAGAGCACTTTCAACTGTTTTAGTTAAGATCTCTTCAACTTTGCCTAATTCGTTCTTAATTTGCAACATAATATCCTTCTGTTCATAGTCTTGATACTCTTTCATTTGGACTTTTAAATGTCCAGCTAGTTCAGATCGACTGCTACTTTTGATCTGTTTACTTATATCTTCAATTAGTAAACTCAAAGTATTAGAAGGATATTCTAGTAAAGATGCAGTTACATAGATTAAGTCTGATTTTTCCTTAACAAAGAACTTGTAACTCTCTCCTTCTTCCATACGATGGACTAATTCTTGGGGCACAGCTGTATCTAAACTTTCTGCCACTCTTTTAGATAAAAACCGTAACATCTCTTGAACTGCAGTTCGTTTGAAGTAACTAAAAGATCCCAAATTGTATTCCTCTTGATAAATGCTTGTCTTTTCATCTTTACTAAAGATAATGATAGAGAAGAGAGTAGCTTTGGCTGCCATAACAAAATTTGCACTAATTGGGTTAGTATTAGTATGTATTTCCTTGAGTTTAGGTTGATTTAGGTTGGTTTAAGTATTGTTAGACTTTTGATTGAGTTTGTTTGTTCATAATTTGAGTTTATCTTAGCAATCGGATCTTGGTAGGTACAATTTGAGCTTAGATATCTCTTTCTTTTTAGATCTATAGAGCTGACATTAAATTAAGTACAACTATAAGCACTCCATACGCATCCAATCTAATCTAACCCAATACATTACCAACCCAATCCAATACTAACCCAACCCAATCTAACCCAATACCAACCCAATACGATATTCCATGAGATAAGTGTGGGTACCATTTATTAAATAAATACGGTTGAGTTGAAATATGATGACGTCATATTAAGTTAGGATTAGTGTGGGTATTAGTGTGTTGGTAAGTACTAAGTAGTGTGTACTAAGTACTAAGTAGTAGTATTACGATAGTGGATACTCTGAACACTACAGTTATGTTAACTTGACTTGACTTAAGTTGGCATTCATTTCTTCTAATGTACTAGTAAGACTAGTCCTAGATCAAGCCCGAGTTTAGTTCAGGTCCAATTTATTGAGTAAGAGGTAAGGTATTCCATATCAGAGTTATTCTTTAACCAATATCAAGTTACTATCAACTTAATACTAACACAATACCAACTTACTGTCAACTTAATACTAACACAATACCAACCCAACTCAACCCAATACCAACCCAACTCAATCTAATACCAACCCAACTCAACCCAATACCAACCTAACTTAACCCAACTCAATCTAACTTAACACAATCTATTATAATGCTTATCTTATACTAATAGTTCTCTTTTTTTCTTTGTTTATGAAACTCATCTTCGTCTTCGCAGTTTGTCTTGGAATTATTAGGGCGATTGCAATTCAAAAGATACTTCGACCAAATTCAACAACCATAATCTCTGAAAAGATTGATCAGGCTTCAATGGGCATCACCTTAGATGTTAATACTATTCAAGGAGATGATCTGTACATCCTTAGTGGGTTTAAGAACCGAGCGATGGAGAAGGTCAAACTAGCTGGAAGTTACAAACGAAACTTAGAATCAGCCGAGCCAGGAGAATTTGAAGCCCGAGTAGTTAATGAAAGTGGCGAATTTGCTAATGTAACTATCTCTGTCTATGTGGATAAGGCTCATGAAGATACAGATGAAGCTGAAGTACTACGCAAATTACTAGATAAAGTCCGAGTTGATTTAGTAAATATATACAATGACGTACTTAAGATAAAGAACATGAACATCCAAAGTCTGTCCAAAACCAAAACGGCCAAGCGAGTTCTGTGGGTGGTTTCTGCCTCCCCCGGATTGTACATCCTTCTAAGCATTCTACGACTGCGTTTCATCAAAGGCTTCTTTACCGGCAAAAACCCTAACAAGATCTAAGTCCCCTCTGAATAAATAGGTTAAGTTTACATTGAGTTAGGTTGTGTTTATGATTGAGTTGTGTTGGGTTAAGTTAAGTTGTGTTTATGTTTAAGTTTAAGTTGTGTTAAGTTGAGTTAGTAGTATGTTTATCTTATCTTATCTTAAGTTAGTAGTATGTTTATGTCTATCTTATCTTAAGTTACTATTAAGTGAGTAGTATGTTTATCTTAAGTTACTATTAAGTTACTATTAAGTTACTACTACCATAAGATAAGATAAGAATAAGTAACAATCTAGATATGACTGGCAGACAAGTAGTTAAGCTAAATCAAATAGAAACACAACTTATTCTAATCTAAATGCTTATCTAATATTACTATAATGACAATATAAGCCTACTTTTTTATTTTGGATATGTCTGAGAGTAGAAGAAGAGTTGAGGTTGGCCGGCGATCGGTAAGTGCTAAGGCAGAAAAGATGCCAGTTGGTCTTGTGGAAGGATTTTGGCGGCAAGTGCGGTTATGGCAACGGGAGATGATTCATGTTCGTTTGTTTTTAAAACGAGCCACTAAGCCAAGTAAGCGAGAGTATGTGCAGTTAGTAAGAGCACATGCTACAGGAGTGTTGTTATTGGGGTTCTTGGGGTATGTTATTACTTTTATTCACATTCCAATTAATAATATCCTTTTTGGGGTTAAGAGATAAGCATTGGTTTGTTGTGAAAACAAACAAAATATTTCCTTTTTAGGAAATATAACGATGGTTTAGTCTTTGTCTTTATCAAAATAAAAGTATATAACCAAAACATTATTATATCTAGATATATGGACAGTACGCCAGCAATAACTGCAGAGTCTTATGTGGGTGGGTTAGTAGTAGAACAAGTAAATGTGAATGACTTAGCAGATAGTAATGGGTCGAATGACAAGAAGCTCGCGAAGTGGCAATTAGGGGGGTCGAATACTAATCCACATGAAGATATCCTTGGCTCTGAAGATATCCTTGGCTCGACATTTGTTCATAATGATAAATTCGTTGAAAGTTGGATTGGGCCGGATGAAATGAAACTTAAAGAAGAGCCAAAGCCGGAGCTAGTTGACCCGTATAATATCATGTTTGATCGGATTATAGCGCAGTACATGGCGGATAGGGATAAGAGGTATCAGGAATGGTGTGATGATCGTGTAAATGTTGGAATTCAACCGGGATCGTTTGGTCAGTTTACTCCTAGTAATTCCATATCAGCCACTATGCTAAACATTGTGCACCGTCGGGCTAAAGACCAACTGGATATAAAGATTATGGAAATAACTGGTTGTGTTAATGTGACGAAGATTAATAGGGATTCTGCTAGGTATCTTTTTGATACTGATATAACTGACTGTGTGGTCCGAATGGTTAAAGATGAGTTTGGGCTGTCAGATGATGAGAAGGTGATTAATTTGTTGAGTTTCCATGCGGCTATGGCTGTAGTGGCTAGTTTAACAACGATTGGGTTTGCAGTGGCTTTACATTGGGTTACTGTGAATTCTCCGCCTTACGATATGACTGGAATGGGTTTGATCTATACACTGGAAAAGAAGTTAGGCCTTTTGTTTAGCGCTGGATCTTCAATATGCTTTCTGTGGTGGGCATGGTCCTTGCGTGCTAGTAAACATACTCATTATAACAACTACTATAGAATCGTAATTGCCCCAACGAGAAGAAGTCGGCCATTGATTTACAGCTCATTTTGGGGATTAGTTGTTGTTTCGGTGGTGAACCTGTTTTGTTTGACTGCTGGACTGGTTTGGGTGCTGGGTTGTGGGCCACTTGAGTTTCTTTGGGGTGCTACTTCGTGGAAACTCCTGGATGATGGCGTGGCGACCTTAAAATGGCATGGTCTACTTGGATACATTTCTATGGCAATACATGCTGTTGGCATGGGTATACTGGCTATACTGCTGGTTTACAAGAGGAAGTTATGGTTCCAGGACCACCAAGTGCGCTGGACTTGGATGTATTCATTCACTTGGACTCCGAAAACAAAGAGTACTGATATCCCGATGACGGTGATTAATAGTCAGAAGAAGGCGCGCAAAACGGGGGCTGAACCTAGCGAGGGGGACGATACACCGTTGAAGACCGATAAACCGGTGGTGATCAAACTGCCCAATCCGAGTTTAAACCTATATTTGGCTGCGGGGGCGTTCTGGGCGTTTTTGATAGCGACTATGTTGAAAATCCCTTATATTGTCGAGCTGGCCCATGAAGGAGCTCCGATCCAAGGTATGATGGCTGCCATTGATGTGCTTGGTGTAATAGCTGCTTCGCCAAGCGGTGCTATGACCTTCGTATCTATACTTTTCTTTGTTGATAATCAACTTGGGCTAATTTACAATTGCTATAAGCATCTGGCGGTAGATTGCATGGATGGTACTAAATGGTTCTATTCCTACATTATTACATGTGAGGCAGTTCTGATTCTAGGAGGAATTAGTATCCTGTATGGTCTTCTGTTTGATAGTTTCTACCCAATTGTATGGCTTAAGGTCCGGGTGGTATAGAGTCTTTGGTCGTAATTAACCTGATTGCTTGCTAGATTTTGATGGAATTGGGTTAGTGAGGATTACTGATTAATAAAGGGATGTAAAGAAAATAATCGGAGTTGTGCTATCATTGGCATATTGTGATCTTGATGTGGATGTATAAAAGTAAGTCGGGTCCTGGCTAGGAATGAAGAACTCTAAGCCTGGTAGATCAACAGAACAGTCCCCATTGCGTCCGGACACTCAGTATCTGAAATTGAGTATGGATAGACTGCCCATACTTGAATCCAGGCCAGCTCAAGATGTACCAACTATACCCTCATTTGTTCATGGCACTGTTTTCTCCCAACTTATTCCATCAAAGAGCCGCTCCAGATCCTCTCCCCAGCACAAGAGTTCCTCTTCCTCCACTGAACAGCACGTTTTTCTATCAGTACTTAGTTCGCCCAATACTATCCCCGTGGTAGAGACTTCTAATCAGCCCGTTCTAAGCCACTATACCCATCCAGAGCTGCCGCGGCGGGATATTTTGACCTACAACCTAACCAAAATCATAGTGCCTTTGATTGTATGCGTGGTGGCTACGGTGTTTTTCTGGGGCTTTTACCTGGAAAGCGTGCTTCTCCTGCAAAAGTACACGATTGAAGCCATTATGTTTGATGCGTTGTGTTTATGCCTATTAATGGCTAGTTTAGGCTTGGGAGTGGGGTACTATCGACACTATTGGAAAAAGAATAAGGCTAATCGCACACCGTACTATGTTTTTGCGTCACAGCTTTATTTAACGGTTAGTGTAGTCTCCTTTGTTTCTCTGGTCTTTGCCACCCTACTAATTATGTGGGACTATGCGACAATCAGTAGGCGAGTTAGTAGGACTATTCACGATATTGCTTTATCTTTCCAGCCGGATCTTTTTAGTTCATTGCGGCCCTCGCGCCACTACCAGGCTATCTTACTGACCCGAATAATAATTGGTATCACTTACATTGGGGCAGTTATAAGCTATGTCGTCTCACATCTTGTTAAAAAGGAGCACCCGGTAGTTGGCTTAGCCTGCTCTTTATTCTTTGGTGCCCTTTGGCTGCTTTCACTTGTCTTGCACACTATCTTGATTATGACTGCGACAAAGGTGATAGCGTACGCCCATTGGGTCACCTTTTTTGCAACATACTTATCAACTCACACAGGCACAAGCTTCTTCTTCTTGTTATTTATTCTTGATAGCTACACTCGGGCCCATTATCAGCGCAAATACAATCCATCTAATCCGACTGTTTATTCTAATCTGAAAACAATTGTTGTGTTTAGTTTATGTGCCATTCCTATTTGTCTTTTGGCCATCTTTCTGAGTATCTTCCATAACACTTATTACTATGAGTTTGGCAAGAGCAACACTTATGAAGTATTCCGCAATCTAACTAGACATACTTTGAATCAATAAAATCAGCGGCTGTTTATTCAAGACCGACCCTAGTGATGAGTGCATAGGCAGCCCCAATTAACGAGGCATGCTCGTCGTAGTTGAGGACAATGGTTAGTTTATCTGCAACTGGGCTATTGATCATACCTTTTAAAATGGCTTTAACTTCGCTAGTGACCATGTCTCGGAAGACCTGGTGCTGAATCCCCGACCCGTTCACTCCAACTGTAAACTTGGTTCGACCCGGATCGACTTGATAAGATCTATAGACCATTGCCGCAATTAGCCCTGATAAAATAGATTGCTTTCTCTCTTGAGCTTCCAAAATTATAAGATTGAGTGTGCTGTTTAGCTCAGAAACAACTGAATCACGTTGGTTGGCGGGAAGATTCTTGCAACACTCCTTAATCTGTCCGTTAATCTTCTCTGGATTTTCCATGGCTTCGTTAGTAATCTTAATAGTAGCTAGAGTTGATTCAGAAAGGGTGGAGCTAATCCCATGCTTGGCAAACAAAGAAGTTGCTTCCGCCTGGAATCGGCATTGCACATACTGTTCTATGTACAGCCCGCCGATCATTTTTTCGAGTAAGTATCTGCCTTGACTGTCTGTTTCCCTATCCAGTTGGCAATCATGCTGATCTTGATAGGTTGTTACTATTTGTTCACTATAACTACCCCATTCCGTGTTGAGTGCACACAGATATCGCCTTTGGTTACCATTTCGGCCGGGATTAGCAGAGCTATGCCGTAAACTAATGCCATGCGGATTCTCGAAGTAGGCCCCATTAGTGCCGGTGCCCAGGACTACTCCCAGCACGGCCATCGGGTCCCGGTTCTTAGCTGCTAGTAGAGTGGCCATTGCGTCATTAACAATGGCTTGGAAGTTGATGTTCAGCTGTGATGCTTGTTCCTTCAGTGCACTATTAAGCTCATCTAAAGGCACTTCTTTCTGGCCAGAACCCGTCTTAGGCTTTTTCCATCTGAAGTTCTTAGTGTACTCCACTAGGTAGAACTTTCCGTTCTGGTACTCCAAAGGATATGAAAACGTCAGTGCGCCTTCTGTTGGCAAGGATTGGTTACTGGGGATGCTATTCACGAACTCTTGGATCTTTTCGGCTATCCACTGGTAGATGGTACTTTGGGCCACTCGTTGGGAGTCATTGTGTGGAATAGTGTATGTTTGGAAAGTCTGCTTTTCCATTTCAATCTTGCCATCTGTCTTTATGGCTAAGATCGCCATTTTTAAGCTGGTTCCGCCCACATCAACACATAGTACTTTCTTATCAATATTTGATGTTTGGGCTGGACTAATAAGTAAGTACGATTTCAATAGTGGTGAACTAGATTGATTGATTTGCTGATCCAAGTGCTGGTTAAAAGATCTGGCCAGGTTTATACTCTTCTGGCGACTTGATCTTTTTCGGTCAATAGTGCTGCTCTCTCTATGACAGCTGCATAATAGACCCATCGCGATTAAGGGGATAAAATATCTCCAAATACTACTAAGTCTCATTGGTAGGTCGGCATTTTTCAATATTTATTTATAGCTTCCTCATTCGGCCACTTCCTTTTTGGGTATTTTCCTTATTAGGAAGGCTTGACGTCATCAGAATTTGACCTTTGGCAGCTGTCATTAACTAAAAGATCAAACCGCCACACTTTATGCCCATACTAACCCAAAACCAATCCAACCCAATAGATTAAATTAATAGATAGTTCATTTCACCTTTACTTTAATAAACAATTAATTGCATACTGCCTACTCCTACTACCCCAATCCCAATTCAATACTATAAATCAATAAATTGAACCCAACACCAAATCCAATACTAACCCAATACTAACACAATAATACCTTTAATTTGCTTTCTACTTACTACCTACCTACTTACTTACTACGTACTACTTACTGTGCACTATTTCCATATGTTAGCTTGGCATTCCTTGAGAACCTCAGCGGCAGATGATCCTAGTGCATTGGCTATTTCGGTCTCAAGCTCGTCGGTGCTGTAGATATAAAAGGGCTTAACTAGCGAAACTAACTCTTCGGTTTGGTTGTGACTGGCTAGATTCTTGACTATTTTTTGGGCTTTTGTCCAGGCTGGTCCTACACGCCAAGTCCTTTCGGATAGATAAACCGGAAGAATCCATCCGGTTTCTTTGGGACTCTTTTCTAAATAACTCATAATACATCGCTCCGATTCCTCCATATCCATCTTTTTAAACCACTTAATAAGTCCTGTCTCTATCTTCTTAGGGGCATATTTGCGAATAGTTGCGCCAACTGATAAAGTATCTGCTAATGATATTTGGGTTTCTTCAATCTTGCGCAGAACTAAGTAAATCTCCCTATTTGTTTTTGGACTTTGCAGTACTCTTGCCAACTCTTCCTGTCCGATTTGGGCTTCCATTGTTTCTATGGTGCGCTGGTGTCGATGAGATAAGATATCTTGAATGATTCCATAAAGACTTAAATCGGCCTGGGCAATCTGCTCTAAAGTTGCATCTGAGATGTTCTGGACTAGTACATCTATGTTCACATCACGTACTAGATCGGCCCCTCGGATTATTTGCTCAACCTCTTCAGTTGGACTATCTTTGGCCAGAATTCGCCTTCGATTTGTTTCATCAGACATACGACTTCAAACAAAATTTCACCCAACCTATAAATAGGCCTTTTTCTTTCCCTTTATGGAAGAGCTCATTGTTACTTTTCAGAATAAGAAAGATCCTGCCCTGATTACCCCGCCTATGCAGGTTCCCAAAGGCATTACTCTTAAAGAAATGGAAGAACTTCTCAATCGGCTGTTCAGCCATGATAAGACTTATGCCTTTTTCTATAATGGCACTCAGATCAATGAGATGCCAGAAGCCGCGGCCGAAACAACTCTGAATATTGAATTTTTAGCCGTATCTAAGATATCAAGTGAAAGTGCTAAAATTGATATGGACAGTCCCATTACTTGTATTTCGATAAGACGCAATCCTGAAGTGCATACGGATAGTGTAGTAATCTGTACTGTTCGTGGTGAGACAAAGGAGTTCTCACTAGGCCCTGGACTAGATGTTTTAAAGGACTTTGATTCGTTCAAGCCCATTCGAGTGGTGACGTCAACTGAGACCGGTTTATTTGTATTGACAACCACTAATAAAGTAGTGGATGTGGAAAAGGCCGAAATCGTCTTTGAACAAGAAGATCCCATTCGTACTATTACTGGCTGCCACGCTCTCCTAGCTATTGGCCTGGCTTCAGATGAAGTAGTAATTCTGGAAGAGGGCAAGGAAATCAAAAGAATCAAAACCAATGGCGAGATTGGCAAACTTATTCTGCGCGAAGTGGATGACAAGTACGTTTTGATCGCTGGAATTGTCACGGGTACTATTGAAGTTTACTCGGGATCTGATTGGAACAAAACTGTTATTGAAACCACCCGGCCAATCACAGCCATGGGCTATGAAGACGGGAAGATTTATGTAGGCGGTCTAGGTGGCTCCATTACTATCTGCTCGCTTACTAAGGTTGAAAAGGAGTACCAATCCGATGCCGAGTTTATTTCTAGAATTGAAGCCGGCACTATCTTCTTTGTTTATACGAACAAGAACCAAATACATGTGCGTGATAAGGATAACTTCACCGGAACTCACTTGATAGAACTTTCCGCCGATATAGCTGATGTCAAAGTCTCTGGCAAAAGACTCTTCGTCGCCGATGGCACTTCTCTCAAACTATTCAATATCTTTGATGAGTAATACAAGTACATCTTTCCAAAGAGCAACTACCAGCTACTTTTAAGCTATTTCCACCAATTCGATCTTCAGAATTACTATTACTATTTACAACTAACTCAATAAAAAGATCTATTCCCATTCATTATCCAAAATTGCAGACTTAGCTTTTGAATTTTATTATGACTTCATTGGGTTAGTATCAAAATGAGATAAGTTAAGTTAAGATAAGTTAAGTTGACATTAAGATAAGTTGAGTTAAGATACGTTGATGTCAAATAAGTTGATGTCAAGCCAAGTTAATGTTAAAGTGAGACAAGTTGAGGTAGTATAAGATTGTCGGATGACATTTATGTCGCAAATTGGTTCATACCAAGACTTGATCTTATGACGTCATATTGAGCTAGGAATCTTATTTTACATTCTGGCCGAGATTAGATTATAAGATATAAATAAGAATGTATTTGATAAAGGGATTGTAGATTCACTCCCAACCGAACCCAATCAAGATAAGATAAGTTAAGTTGACATTAGAATGAGATAAGATGACATTAAGATAAGATACGACAAAATCAAAAGAAGTTGAGATAGTGCAAATAGTGTTTATTAATGAACTGGCTTACCCCAGTCTTATCTTAGATTGACTTAAAACTTGAAGATTCCCGTAGCCGGTAAGGACTCTACTGAATACTTCATTCCATGTACGGCCAGAATAGGTACACCCGGAATCTTTCTTAGTCTTTGTTTTAACTCCTTATCACAAGTAGCAATCACATAACAAGGATGCCTTTCCACTCGATCTATCAAACAATTATCAGCATAGATCCCAGGATGGTCACAAGTAAGCCGTTTATATCGGCCACTCTTTAAGACCTTCAGAGCCAACGTATGAACTTTACCCAACTTTTCCATCTCAGCAATAACACAATCAGTCACAAACATATTCACTCGACTGAATAAACACGAAATAAGCTCTTTCTCTATATCAAGTTTTCGACGTAAACTCATATTAACGAAATTAGTATCAAGAATAACATTATATGGCGGACTTAAATTATGGTTAATTTCAAAATACTTGCGTAGATCTGGGTTAATCTCATCTTCTCTAATTTCGGGATTCTTTTTGACTTCTTTGGGATTCTTTTTGATAAGCATCTTTTTGACTTTACATCCAGTTCGGTTTTTGCCCATTCTGAAAGTTTTTTGCGATTCAGTTGGCTATCTACTCATTGTATTGAGTTGATTTAGTTTGATAGTTGAGTTAGTATTTAGATTAGATTAGAATTGAGTTAGTATTTGGTTTGTGCTGGATTGGCTTAATTTGGTACTTGAATTAGTATTGAGGTGAGGTGGGTTGAGTTGATTTAGTATTGGGTTGAGTTGAGATGTGGTGGGATGAATTATAAAGTGAGTAATCTTATCTCTGTATTTAGATTTAGTATTGAGTTGACATTTGGATTTATATTAAGTTGTAATTTAGGAAATCGAATTAGTATTAGATTAGATTGGGTTATGTTATGTTATATTGGGTTAGATTGGTGTGATAGATTGAGTTAGATTGGTGTGATAGATGGTTTAGTAGTCGTTGGGCTAGTGCTTTTCAGTGTCTGTACAGTCTTAATACGAACAGAATACCAGCTTAATACGAACAGAATACTAACTTAATACTAACTTAATACTAACAGAATACCAACTCTACTGGAGACATATAAACTTCAACCGACCAGCAAGTAGCTACCACTAGAAATGTACTGCTTCTCATGAAACATCGGATGGTTTTATTGGTTTTCTCATAAACCTTCCTGAGCTCGGCAATAAGATAATTGCTATTATAGTGATCACTACTCTGGTTGCATTTGGGTTAGTATCGGGTTAGGAATCGGATTGGGTTGGATTGGGTTGGGTTTATTTGGGGTAGATAGTGGGTATAGAATCTGAAACAACTGGGTTGGTTTTTGTTTTGTTATTAAGACTATTTATCAATTAGAAATTTGGCTAATTCAGCATTGTAATTCGCCCAAATTAGCATAAATAGATACCATTGTTTTGGATTATGAAAGGTATTATTCTAGTTGGAGGATTAGGCACAAGGCTGCGACCATTGACTCTCACGGAGCCTAAGCCATTGATTCCATTTATGAACAAGCCTATTATTATGCATCAAATTGAAGCTTTGGCAGCAGCTGGTGTCACAGAGATCATTTTAGCAGTTGGCTATATGCCCGAAACTTTAAAGCAAAGATTAGATGCTTATACGTGCGAACTACCAGTGAAAATCACCTACTCAATTGAAGAAACTTCCATGGGAACGGCTGGACCACTATCTTTAATTCGTGATATTCTTGAAAATGAAACCGAGCCCTTCTTTGTGCTTAATTCTGATGTGATCTGTGAATACCCCTTTAAAGAAATGATTGCCTACCACCAGTTGCACCAAAGGGCCGGAACCATTGCCGCAACTAAAGTGAACGATCCATCACGGTATGGAGTTATGATTTATGACGAGGACAATACTTTACAGCGCTTTGTGGAAAAACCAACAACTTTTGTGGGTGATCGCATCAATGCCGGCATTTACCTACTAACTAAACGAGTTCTTGATTACGTCCAGAATACACCCATGTCGATGGAAAACGATGTTCTGCCTAAAATGGCCCGCAACCAAGAGATCAAGGTCTTTAGTCTACCCGGGTTCTGGATGGATATTGGTCAGCCTAAAGACTATATTCTCGGCCACCAACTTTACTTTCAAAGCACTTCAACTAACCGTAAATCTGTCTTTATTGATTCAACCGCACGTATTTCTCCCTCAGCGACAATCGGTCCCAATACAGTCATTGGCCCCAACGTTATTGTTGAAGATGGGGCCGAGATCGAAGACTCAGTTGTTCTAGAAGGGGCGCGGATCAAAGAAAACTCTCTTGTTGCTAGCTCAATTATCGGCTGGCGCGCTCAAATTGGCCGCTGGTCCCGGATTGAGGACTGTTCTGTTATTGGGGCTAATGTTAAAGTCCAAGATGGCATTTACATTAGTGAAGGCCGAATTTTACCAGATACACAGGTCTCTCTTCATGTACTTATTCCCTCCAAAACACAAACACCCATTCAAACACCTACCACGCCTTAAATAAACTACCATCCACGCATTTATCGCTTTTTCCCGTACTCCATCTTGCCCAATAACATGTTCGCCGCCTGAACAATATCATCTACCGTCGGATACATTAGCTGTTCCAATTCCTCAGCATAAGGCGTAGGAATCTTCTTACTGCACAAGGTAAAGACCGGTTTATCCATCTCACCAAAGAGTCGGAATGACGTAGCTGCGGAAATTTCAGCAGCCACTCCGCACTCCGGCCAGGCCCAGTCAACTACCAATAATCGCTTAGTCTTCTTAACCGACTCAACTACACCATCAATATCTAAAGGATTAATTGCCACCATATTTATGACTTCCACACTCACTCCCTGTCCTTCCAATACCTTTTTAGCTTCAAGACACAACCCAACCGAAATCCCCATTCCCACCAAGGTTACTTCACTACCTATACACTCCACAATTGCTTTGTTCAATGGCAAAACAAAGTCCGGCTGCATAATCTCCTCACTACACTCCATTTCCCGACTGTAAAGCACTTCACTTTCCAAGACCAAAACCGGATTGTTATCTCTTATTGCACTCCTTAGCAGCCCAGCAAAATCCCGGGCCGAGTAAGGCATAACCACTTTCAGTCCCGGAATGGCCGCAAAGAATCCCGAGAAGTCCTGAGTATGTTGGGCACCCACGCCATAAGCAAACCCATTTGGACCGCGAAAGACTATCGGACACTTAATGCGACCTCCAGACATATACAAAGTCTTAGCAGCTGAATTAATGATATGGTCCAAGGCCTGCAAAGCAAAGCTAAAGGACATATAATCACAAACAGGTCTCAATCCATTCCAAGCCGCACCGACAGCCAAACCCGAAAATCCAATCTCAGATATGGGTGTATCAATTACTCGACCCGAACCAAACTTATCTAGCAAACCAGCCGTACATTGGTAAGCCCCGCCATAAACAGCCACCTCTTCCCCCAACACAAAAACTCGATCATCCCTCTCCATCTCCCCAGCAATCGTATCCCGAATTACCTCACTGATCCTTTTCTTCATACAAACAAAACAATCCCCCCTTAATTAACCCAATACCACCACCAACTATTCACTAACTTACCACAAGATACTTATCAATTTACTTATATCACAAGACTACTCCAACTAGAAAGAATAAATCATTGCCAAATTAGATAGCCCAATACTATGTTAGATAATCCAATACTAACCCAATAGATGTCTATTTACATATCTACATCATTAACACATTACACCACTAACACGTTATACTAGACACATACATTACACTAGACACACACACCTCACTAGACATACACATTAGATCATTAACACATTACACCAGACATTACACTAGGCATACACATTACACTAAACACATACACCTCACTAGACATACACACCTCACTAGACACATACATTACACTAGACACATACATTACACCACTAACACACACCTCACCAGACACACACATACTAACTCTTAATTAGTCATCATTTTATTACACATTAACTTAATCAAACCCACCCCAATCAATACCAACTTAACTTAATACCAACTTAATCTTATCTTTACCCAGTACCTTATCTATACCAACTTGAGTGGCGGCTTGGTCTAGTGGTATGATTCTCGCTTTGGGTGCGAGAGGTCCCGGGTTCAATTCCCGGAGCCGCCCTTTTCTTTTCCTTTTTTTGCTACTCTTAATGTCTCCTATTGTTATCTCCGAAGTATACTCCTTATCCACTGTTAAGCATACTCTTGATGACGTTTTAGTAGGTCACTTAGTAGTTCAAGAAGGTTATAAGGAAGACACTTTTTCTGCTGATGTAAAGATAGTTACAGGCTTATTCTTATCTCTTTTAACTATTGTTTTACTAGTCTTATCTCTTAAGTGTGATTTTAGTACGTATAAGTCTTATGCAGCCACTATTGTTATTCTCTTTTGGGTTATTTCCTATTTAGAAAGCTTTCTTAGTAAGTTCTTCTTTGGTTATACTTTTTTAGGCCGATCTGATAAGGATACTATCAAAATACTAACAAAGATAGATAGTCCTAAACCTATCTATACTTTACTTGTTTATTTTAACAAGAAAGAGATTCCTAACAAAACATCACTTGATATCACAAAAATAGTCAATCAAAAAGGAGAGTTAAACCAAGATCTTTTCGTTGCCTCTATCAAAGAAGCACTTCTACCCTCCTCTTCTTAATCTAACCCAATACTAACCCAACAATAAAAACTATTGATTACACTATCTATACTTCACAATTTAATTACACTCAACTCAACTTAATCTAATCTAATCTAAACTCAACACCACCCAACACCAAACTCAACTCAACTCAACTCAACACCACCCAACTCCACCCCAAACCCAAACTCAACTCCACACCAAACACAACTTAATCTAATCTAATCTAAGTCAATATATTGTTTTTTTATTTGTAGACTATGAATATACTACTTACTCTGTTTAGTTTAGTCTTTGCTTTGACTGCTTTAGATAGTTATCGGTGTGATTCCTTTGCTATTCCTGGAAAAGGTACTTTTAGGCTGGGAATTCAATTACAGGAAAATGTTAGTTCAAGGATGAACATGTTAATTGCAGGGGGTAGATTAGCTAGTACTAGGATTGAACTTAAAGATCCCTTAGGGAAGACAGCTAGATCTTTTGTTAATGAGAATAGAATAGGTCTTGTTTTTATGCCACAAGTTACTGGTGATTACTTTTTGGAGGTAGAGAATAACTCTAGTGAAGAGGTTAACTTCTCATTAGACTTACCAGTGAATAGTGAAGGACCTTTTGCTGATAAGCTTGAACCAAACAAAGTCAAAGAACTTGATGAAATGTTGCGTTCAATTATTGAGGCACAGAAGAACCTTTTAGTCCGGCAGAATACGCACTTACAAATGGCTAAAAACACTAAGGGCTGGATTAGGAAACTAACTATTCTTGAGATAGTTCTTTGTCTCTTTGCCCTGTACTATGTTCATGGAGAGGCCGTTAAGACCTTTTACAGTACCAGAAAAGTCTAATAAAGGAAGTTAGTTTTGGTTTAGATTAGATTGAGTTAGTTTTGGTTTTTGGTTTGGTTTAGATTAGATTAGGTTGGGTTGGTTTAGATTGGGTTAAGTTAAGATTAGATTGGGTTGATTTATGTAGTGCTGTCATACGATTACTAACCCAAACTAACCCAAACTAACCCAAACCAACTTAACCCAAGCAAGCTGATTACTGGTAAGCTATGTGCTAATAGCTATCAATTGATATTACAACTAATACGTGACTTTAATATAACCAATTTAGTTTTGTATATCTACACTAACTTAATATGACGTCATCCTTAGACTACTTTTATTTAATGAATGGTGCCTCCACAGATCTCATGGAATTTCTTTCCTAGAGTATGTATTAGTTAAGATGGACTTTGTATTGAGTACTATAATCAGTAGCACAGACATTATCAGAATGGAACTTTATTGCTGATTTAGGCAAGGTATTAAGCTTACAATGTATGTTTAGAGTTTCTTAAGCTCCACCCGGCCATTTTGATAGTGGATCTCGATTATTTTAACCGATATACTATAAAGAGCAAGCTCATCTCTTATTTGATTATAGATGGTGGGATCACCAAATTTAGAAGGAACACTAGGACGTTCCGGAATAACAATTTTGTCAGCAAAGATACGATACTTAGTGTCCTTTAATAGTCTCCACGGCTCATAGACTTTTAGAGGATCGAAAGTGTTTTCTTGGATCATGATAGTGTGGACATGGAAGTTATCTTTAGAAATGGCGCCCAAAGATAGAAGATTTCTCCAACTAATCAGCAATTTTATGTCTTTGTATCGTGCAGTGCAATCCTCTAGGCCTACTATTAATGGGCACTGCTTATAGGTGGCCTTAATTGTGATTTCAGAACAATTGGTAGGAATTCGGGAGAGATATTCAAGATTAACCTCAGTTTTCTTAGAGCTAAGGGATACAGTTGCCTTGAAGTCTTTCGTTAAACATAGATTATCAAGGTGATGGGCAAGTTTATCTACTGGGTGGAAGTGGATAGATGAAAACCGTTGCTTTATGGCGATAGCATTCGCACCCCAGTTTGAAAGGATAGTGTTGCCCCAAGCTACGAGCGCACATGGTGATTTAGGAGTAAGACCGATGACTCCCTCCGCTTCACACAAACTAGCATTATAAATGGACTGGTTTGTACTATTGCACTTTAAGTTACACTTCAAATTAAGCTTTAGCTTCTCACACTCAATCATGTTAATGATTCGAGTTACAATTAAGATGCACGTCTGGCGCCATTCTGGCTCAACATCCGTATACTCAATCGATGCCACTGGGACTTTGATAGCAGCGATCGTATTTAGAAATACAAGGGCTGAGCTAGCCTCTTTGGCACTTGAATACTCGGGCAGAGTAAACTTCATCCATCTGACCCGAGTATCTACTATAGAAAGACCAGCCATTTCTTTTAACCCACTTGAACTTAGACATGGGTTAGTATCGGAGTCAGAAGCTGCTGGCTGCACTGGAGTATAGGGCTTAACCAGCACCTTCAGTATACTCTCATTGAACGCAAACCCAAGTTGTTCCAATCTATTAACCATATTCTTTGGTGATTTCCAACTCGCAAAGTCATCCCCATTACCAACCCTACTTCTACAAGCCAACTCACCCTTACTATCTTCAGCCGACCCACAAACAACATTCAACACTACCAATAGCCCAATAATAACCTTCCACATAAGTATTGTAGATAGATAACTGTTGTGCCCCAGGGGAGGATAGAGACCTCTCATCCGAATATACTCAACGAGAGACAACTCATCATTCAGGCTAGTATTGAGTTGGTCTTGAGTTGGTATACGAGTCTGAGCCGGCTCTAGTTCTGATATAGTTCTAGGCGAATCCTTCATGTATCTCATGGAAGTCATAGACAGTCCTTTATCAATCTTCGTCGTATATTTATACTCTGAAACAAGTGATAACAAGATTGAGTTGGTTTTGGAATATCTTGGCTTATCTAAAGTAGTACGGAATAAATATCTACATTATATGTACTTACTCGTCTAAAAGTAGAGATATCTCGAGAGCCTCATTAAAGATGTGTGAGGGATGGCACAGACACCACTCATACAAATACGTATAGATTGGATGGGACTACCGACTTAAATTAGTATGGGGCAGTAGCCAATTAAAACTTCACATAGATCCTTAACAATGCGTGTTTCAAATCTACACAACACAGATAATAAAGCACATAACGACTTAACCCAATCTAATCCAAATACTAATTTATTTCAAAACACAATTTAATCTTAAGACCACAAAAGATAATAAAAGTCTAATCTTTATTCAACTAAAGCCAAATCTACAACAACACCCCAATACTTATAAGCAAATCCCAACTTAATACTAACTCAATTTATAAGCAAATCCCAACTTAATACTAACTCAATTTATAAGCAAATCCCAACTCAAAGTCAACTCCAAGATTAAGTCATGTGAGATTCGGCAAAATTTGCGAATGTCAGAAGTAAAACAGTTAGTACCCCAAGAAATAAGAAGTATTAGAGTCCCTTTTCAAAGAATGAAGGCCATTAAGGGGGCCTGGATGAAGATATATACGCCTATCGTGGTTCAGTGCAAGTTAGAGATAAGAATGAACTTATCTAATCGGTCAATTGATATAAGAACATGCAGCAAAACCACAACGGCAGTGGCTATCCAAAGAGCCGAAGAGTTTATTAAGGCAGTGGTTTTAGGTTTTTCAGTTGAAGATGCCTTATCTATTCTTCGAATGGACACTATCTATGTTGATGGTTTTGATATTGAAGAAGTACGTATCTTAAGAAACGATCACGTGGGACGAGCCATAGGACGTATAGCCGGTAAGAAAGGGAAGGTAAAGACCAATCTAGAGAATATCTCGCAAACTAGAATTGTACTAGAGGACAAGCATATAAGAATCTTAGGCACGGCTGAGAATATTGCTTTAGCCAAAACTGCGATTAGTAAGTTGATCATGGGCTCGCAACCGGCTAAGGTATGCACGGATTTGCGAACTATTTCCAAGAAGGTCCAGGAACGACTGTGAGCTTAGCATAGTAGTGCCAGCACTCAATAACAATAAATATCACTGATAGTTATCTTAAGTTACATTTCAGATAGATAGAGACATAATTTTGATTTTACCTAACATAATACCAACATAATACTAACATAATACCAACTCAATACTAACTCAATTCAACTCTCTCTAAAATACTAACCTAATTGTTTATTGTGATAGAACTGGGGCAGGATGGGTTTCAGATAGGGCAAGGATTTTGTTATGGTACTTAATAAAGTCTGGATCAGTAGTAATTCGTTCATTAGTAAGCCATTGGGAGATAGGAAGTGTAGGATTAGATTGGGTATAACGAGTGCAAATGGAGACGGCAAAGTCAATAACTTCAACTATGAAAGTGGCATCTGCTTCTTTAAGTCCACGAGTAGTGATGGCATAGACGCCCACGCGAATACCTGATGGTTTTAAGGGTGATGTATCTTTAGGAACTGTATTCTTGTTAATATTAAGATTGAGTAGGTCGCAAACGAACTCTACTTCTGAACCACCAACGTGTTTGTTCTTGAGATCAATAATAAGCATATGGTTAGTAGTACTGCCAGTTAAGATTTGGTAATTACGTGCTTGGAAAGCCCGGGCCATGGCTTTAGCATTAAGAAGGACCTGGTCAATGTACTGCTGGTATTCCGGTTGGGCAGCCATGTACATAGCATGAGCAATTCCAGCAATAGTTTGGTTATGCGGTCCACCTTGTAAGAAAGGGAAAACAGCCGAGTTAATTCTCTGGTCCAAATCATAGACCGTATCCTTTACCGTTACTGATTTACGGTAGAAAATCACAGCACCACGTGGTCCTCTTAAACTCTTATGCGTCGTAGTCATAACTACATCGCAGTAAGTAAAAGGACTGTTCATCCGACCAGCCGCAATAATACCAGCAATATGCGAAATATCGGCATAAAGAAAGGCCTTATCCCCAACTATATCTCTTAGTTGTTGGTAGTCCAAATCCTGTGAGTGCGCACTGTACCCACAAATAAGAATCTCAGGACAGACTTCCAGGAATTGTTCTCTTAATTCGTCATAATCAATAAAACCCTCTTCAGTTACCCGATAAGGAAAAGATGAAAAATACAAACTAGTCGCCGATACTTTCTTACTCTTCGTTTGGAATCCATGGGTTAAATGTCCACCCGAAGGCAAGTTCATCCCCATTATCTTCCCGCCCGGCCCAATTAAGGCCGAGTAAGCAGCAAAGTTAGCTACACTTCCTGAATACGGCTGCACAGATACACCCCAAACCGCCGGGTCCAATCCAAATAAAGATAAGGCTCTTGCCTGGCACATACTTTCAATGACGTCAATATACTGCGTTCCCCCATAATATCTAGCTCCTACTCGGCCCTCAGAGTACTTATTAGTGAGTACAGACCCGGCATAAAGGTACACATCAGGAAATACATAGTTTTCACTTGCTATCAAAGTTAATGTTTTTTGTTGTCTCGCCTCCTCAGATCTTAAAGCAACATGTAATTCAGTGTCAATCAAGCCCATGAAAATAAAAAACACTATCCATTTAATGGTCTTTATATTACCCGATTTGGTAATTTATCTTTTGAAAATCCAAATTTCAATTCAAACTTCTTTATTCCCCCTCTTCCCTATCCTCCTTTCCCAACCCATCCCAACCCCACAACTCATTCCCATCTACTCCCCCAACCTATTCCCACCTACTCCACCCCATATCTAACCCAATCTAATCCAATCTAACCCAATATTTAACTCAAACTAACCCAATATTTAACCCAAACCAACCCGAACAAAGCAAATAAGAAGACAAGACAAGAACAAGAAGACTATTTAAGACCAAATCAGCTGTTTATCAATGAAAACTCGTTGAAATCCGCACAAATTTAAACCCATACATTTTTTCTTTTATGCAATACCAAGCTATACTTATCAACGGCGGAACTTTTGGAAAACGGGTTAAACGAGAACTTGAAAAGAATGGCCTAACTAAAGTCCTTCTGATTGAGCAAAACAAAGAGTTGCGGAGAGCAAACGCAATAGCAAAGACCCTTTTTCATGCAGCAGCTACGAGTGTGCAACGGCGCGATTATTATTATGACTACGCCATAAGTATTCCCCAAGAATTACCCGATTGGGAAATTTTACGAACATCAATAAGAGCGAAATTAAAGCAGGCCAACGAGTGCGAGGGAATCGAACCCGATGAGATTTGGACGGAAGAAGTTCAAATAGACCAAACGACAGTAAAGATTGCCGAACAAACTTATCAAACAGATATTTTGATTTTGATTAAAAAAGAGATAGCAAAAGTAAAAACAACCTTTGATAATCTCTATCTTTCTCTTTTAGATAAAGAAAGACTTCCCAAACGTTGGGTTCTTTTAGGCGAAGACCAAAAAACCGTTGAGGCCGCTTCTATTTTGGCCGATTTAGGTTGCAAGGTCTATATTGTTAGTGAAAGTCCTACTCTCCTGCCCAGTAAGGAAACGAACTTGCAAGAGAACATCAAATCTATTTTACTGGATAAGGGCGTTAGTATTTTCTTGCAAACCAAAATCAAGCAAATTGATACGGTTGCCGATCGACAAACACTTGTGATTTTAGAGGCTAACGAGATAGAGCAGCAAATTCAGACAATCGAGTATATCTTAAAAGAAACAACTTACTCACTAACCGAACAAAAACTAGATACGGGTAAGTACATTGAAATTTGCAGTCCAGAAACCAGGATTGGCCGGGCAGAAACTGATTTGTTGCAAATACTAATCCCTAACCTTATCTGGCCCAAATCAAAGTTTTTCGCCATTCCAACCTTTATCTATACTAACCCTGCTGCCGCATATGTAGGATACACAGAAGAAGAGGCACGGAACCATAACTATCTCGTTCGCACCAGTAATCCTAGGTTTAGAGGACTTTTCTATTCCGTTTGCAAATCAAAAATACCGACTGATTATAAACTAGTTATCGCCACTGAAGAGAAAGACTTTATCCAGGAAGAGAAGGTTATTGGCATCCATCTCTTTGGCACCAGTAGTTGTGACATTATAAAAGGCTTTGCAATTGCTATGTACTGTGAGATCTCCCCTGAAGAACTCCTAAAAACTCTCCCCATTCATCCCACCTCTGCCGAGGAACTTATCACTGGCTAATCACTCCCAACTGCAGATCAAAACCACCCACCTCGCAATAAACAGCATTAAAGTTGACGTCATTTCTTTTTTCTAAATGGAATACGACTTGTTCGTCATTGGTGGTGGTAGTGCTGGCTTATCTATCTCAAGAAGAGCTGCAGAGACTTACGGCATGAAAGTAGCACTTGCCGATAAGGGTCCCCTTGGTGGAACTTGTGTTAACAATGGGTGTATCCCTAAAAAGATGCTCTATAATGCAGCTTTCTTGTATACAGAAGGGAGATTTCTCTATCAAAAGTCAAATCTAGCTTTTAATTGGGAGGAGTTCCGCTTGAAAAGAGATAAGTATATTGCTTTCCTTAACTCAATGTATAGTCAACGCAATGAAAGACATCAGATTACGTTGTTTTCAGGTTCGGCATTTTTAAAAGGGAAAAAAGTGACGATTTCTGATTGTGAGTATACTGCTGCTCGGATTGTAGTGGCAACTGGATCATTTCCAGCTCTGCCTCAATGTCCTGGTCAGGATTTAGTCTTAACTAGTGATGATTTCTTTCGTTTCAATCATATTCCTAAATCGGTTGTTTTGATTGGGGCGGGATATATTAGTATTGAGACGGCCTTTGTGCTGGCGCATTTTAAGTGTCAAGTTAGTTTAGTGGCTAGAAGTTCTGGTGTTCTGCGAGTTTTTGATAGTTTGATTAGAAGTGAAGTTTTAGATAGTTTGTTAAAAGCTGGAGTTAAAGTCTTTGATAAGACTAAACTAGTTGAGGTTAGTAAAGTAGTTGGTTCAGAGTTGAAAGAAGTAGTTCTGGAGAGGAATGGACTGGTTGAACGTTTGCAGGTGGAAGAAGTAATCTCAGCGATAGGCAGGAAGGCAGATACACGGTCTCTTGGTGAGGAGATTGTAAGGGATGAGAAAGGGTTTGTTAAAACTGATGAATCTTTTGGGACTTCTGTACCTGGTGTATTTGCTATTGGTGATGTAGCTATGCCTGAACATATGCTAACTCCAGTAGCTATCTTTACAGGTCGACGTTTAGCCGATTGTTGGTACGGCCAGGGTAGTGCGAATGTTAAGCGACTTATTTCTTATGTACCAACAGTAGTCTTTTCTCACCCACCGAGTGGAACGGTTGGATATACGGAAGAGTTATCCCTATCTAATTTTAATGATACGAAGAGTCTTTTAGTAGAAGTTATGCATCCGAGTTCGGTTCTGATTCCGGAAGCGGCTAAGAACAAGTACAAGTTCGTTTTTGGGCAGACAACTGACCAGATTTATGGTATTCATATGCACGGGTATGAATGTGATGAGACTTTACAAGGTTTTGCCGTTCTGGCTAGGAATAAGCAGTCTTTCTCCAAGCTTATAGAGTATGCTGCTTTCTGTGGAGTCTCTTTGTCGGACTTCTTATCTGGAATCATAGAATAAATCGAGTGCCTAATTGTACATCTGGCTAATTTGGCCATTTATAGGTCAGAGTAGTCTTTAAAGTAGTCTTAAAGAGCTTCAATTATGCTGATAGGGATGGTAAAGTAGTCTTAAAGAGATTCAATTGTGCTGATAGGGGTGGTTTAGGGACTATCTTGGGCCAAAATATGCTTAAAACTTCCTTTTGTTTGCAAATATCTATGGAATCTCACCTACGATTGGAATTAAATCATGCGGAATGCGAGAAAGTCTTAGAGGATTTAGATGAGCTGGCTAGAGTAACTAATGGACAGATGGTTAGTGTGTGGAATCAAACACCTGATGATAATGTGAAAGCCATGATAATAATGGCTTCTCAGGCGCAACAAAGTCAAGATTGGCAAGTTCTACGTAAGATAGTTCGATCAATGATTAAGGCATACTACCATGAAAAAGCTGAAGAGATTGAAGCTGAACTTGAAATTGCTGATGGCCAAAAATGTCCTATTTGTGATCGCCGTGGACATATGTCCCAAACTTGCTGGTTTAGAGAAGAAGGGACAGTGCAATTCCGACTGACTAGAGGTGAACATGTCAAAGAGGGAATGGATGCTGATCAGGAAGGGTCTGGATCTGGCGAGGGTGATCTGGAGGTGGATAGGAGTGATGGTGAAAGGTTGGAAATGGAGAAGCAGGTATGGGAAGAAATTGAACAGAAGTACAAGGATATTACTAAGCAACTGGAAGAACTGACTGGACCGATCAAGTTTATTGAAGGCACAGAGTGTCGGATTGAAACGCCGCCTGGGGAAGTAGTTCATCTCAAACAGGGAAAGATTCCGCGGAAGTATAGGGCAAGGTTAATGGCTAAGCTAGCAGTACTGGATCGAGTGGGCATAACGAAACGAAGTGGTTCAGTATGGAACCATCCTATTAAGGTAGCGGAAGAGTCCGAAAGTAAGGAGATTAAACTAGTCGGTCAGTTAATGGCATTGAACCATCTAGCCCAACCGAGTCATTCGGAAATGCCCAATATATACCGGATCATGGAAAAACACCACGGCTCTAAGTACTTTGCCGTGATAAACTTACTAGATGCCTTTTGGCATGTCAAAGTAAGGGATGAAGATATGCCCAAAACTGCATTTACAGTAGGCGGGGTAACAAGACAGTGGCGAGGAATGTTACTGGGGTACAGAAATGCATCATTTATCTTCCAAGATATAATGGAAAGGGTCCTGAGTGGGTTATTATCTGCTGGTGTGGAAGTTCATCAGAGCAGTATATTCATTCATACGAAAACCGATGGGGAGCACAGTACACTCATAAGAGAAGTCTTGGACCGGTTGGGAGAGCAGGGGTTAAGAGTAGATAGGAAGAAGTCGTGGCTGTTCCGTAGGGAAACCATAGTCCAGGGACAGGTCGTAGATAGTGAGACTAGACGGCTTGTGCAGGAAAGGAAACTGGCCGTGCTCAGTCGATCGAAGCCACATACAGTAACCCAGATGAGACAAGTCCTGGGCCGGCTGAACGGACTAAGGGACTACATACCTAACTGTAGTGAGAGAACAAGTTGCTTGACAAATGCTATTATTGGTAAGAAGAAGGACGAGAAAGTCGTCTGGACTGAAGAGATGGATAATGAATGGAATGAGTTGGTGTATCAGGTGGAAAAGATAGAAACTCTTAAACTGCCCGATCTCCAGGCAGAATTCGTCTTAGAAATAAGTGTAAGTCGTACGACAATAGGAGCGGCGCTGCTACAGAAGGGAGAGGCGCGAGAACGAGCACCTATCCAATGGCGCTCCCAAAAACTAACTCGGGAGAAGCTGAACTATGGCGATATGGAGAAAGGAGTGTATGCCGCATACTGGGCAATAAAGGAGCATAGCCATATCCTAAAAGGGCGCACTTTCACAATTGAAACGTGTTATAAACCGCTACTTGAGATAAGGAACGGCCACAGTTTCCAAGATCCGAGAGTGCTAAAATGGGCGGCGGCTGTAATGGAGTACGACTTTGATGTTAAGTATGTTCCATTAAGGTACACGATCTATCACAATACATTGAGTGAGCCGTATCGAAAGAAGCGAGAAAGGAGTATTCCAGAAGAGGAAATGTACGAGGAATCCGCGTTCGATACGAGCATACTTTCTGAAATGATAAACAACGCACTCAAGCAAGACAATGGCAACAGGTCGATTATTGATATTGTTACAGAAGCACAGAACAAGTTCAACTGTATTACCCGCCCGACCACGCCAATAATACCACAAGAACCGAGCGGCCGAGGCGGCATAAGACCTGCGGCCCGAAGTAAGAAAGGAAAGAGTTCTAACCGGTCGCGGCAACGTCCATAAAAACCTAAGTGGTTTTCGTGCTTATCTATGATTTGGCGGGGTTTTCGTACAAATGCTAGCCCTGGCAATGAGTTTATTCCAGCAATAAATGCACGTTATTTTGATTATTGGCCAAACGGATTTTAGTGGGCTTACACCTTATGTTCTAATTGTTCAACAGATAGCTCTACTAAGATAGTTCTACTAACATTGCTCTTTTTATTGGATTCGAATGTTAGTTTCAACTGAAGAAGTTAATTGGCTATAAATCTGACGCCTAGTTCTTTGTTTGAAATTGTAATCTAAATGACATGTTTTTGTTTATATTAGTGGCAGTCTGTGAGTTGTTTTGAAACAGCATATAGCCAATTATGGGCATACACAGTTGTGTTTCACTGTAACAATCAGTTATGTACTATAAATAGCTGCTAAGTTGGCTAGCACGCGTTAATCTATGGACAATCTAACTATAGAGCAATTAAGAGAAATGCAGTGTATCTTGCAAAAGCGAAACCAAGAATTAGAAGAGAAGTTATTCTCCACTTCATTTGACGATGACAAAGCAAAGCTTAGAGTGGCCTTGACCCTACTCAAATTCACTGAAGACACCGACGAATTTACCTTATGGGAAACCAATCTCAAAACATGTACTTTGTGGAAGGAAAGTCCGTCTTCGACACGAATACTACGCATGCTACAGTACTCTACTCCAGCCTTAGAGATCCGGCTCAGAATAGTACGGCCTAAGCTGGCTTTGCTTCGCACCTCACTAGAGATGCTCGAAAAGAAAGACCCAAACTCTAGACTGCTTGACTGGGATAATGTCCGGCCTAAAATCATCGAGATCTTTATGGATCAAACTCCTGAGAGAAAGTGGAGACCATACAAAGTAGGCGAATACTTTGATCTGAACATGTGGAGTTTAGTAATGTATGCCGAGCTGACGCTAAAGACAGTAAGCTGGGCTCAATTTGTAGCTGAAATTAATCGAGCACCGCCCCATCCCAAACTTGGACGAATGTTCGACCCAAATGTGCCTGAGCTAGATAGATTCAAAGACATATGTTATAGCATTTATCTAAAGGAACAAGAAAAGCCCAAGTCAAAAGGGCCCTACAGCCCCAAACAAGCCGCTTCAAAGCCACCACAAGCCCGCAACTGCAGCTATTGTCACAAGAAAGGGCACAAAGAATCACTGTGCTACTATAAGAAGAACAAAGACTGTAACTCATTTGACCCGAAAACAAGTCCTAAACACCAGGAGAAACCAAGAGCATACGAGTTTCCATATAGTGAAAAGATAAAGCTTAGAACCAAAGCTACCACGGATGTTACAACCACCACCGGCAAACCAATTAGAGAATTGTGCGAAAAGTCACCAGAGTTTAACTCCCTAAATTGGGGACTCTACAGGCAGCTAATGCATAACCAGTCGCCTGGGAAGTTTAAACACCACCAGCTAGAAGACCTCAATGGGTTGGACGACGAGAAAGACTCGCCTTCGTATTGCATCGACGTCAATACAAAAGTCCGTGGTGATAGTATAGAAAGATAGATGTTCTACATTCTAAATAGGAAATCGTTTATTCGGCTTATTCAGTCCATCCGGGCTGTCACGTCCAAATCTACAGAATCTACACTCTCCAAGAATGACTAGCCGCATAGGAAACAAGTAAATGGTCGCAACTGAAAACAGCTGGACAAAGCGCAGACAAAGGCACCGGGGCTTAACTGGGTGGGCTAGCCGAGTCAAGAAGGCAAAAAGCATACCTCACAAGTTATAAGAAGGTGCCAAAAACCATTACATCATCTACGGCTGCAATTGGCCAAACAAGACCGTTCTAGTTTCAGCAACGTTCAAGAGCGTATGATTAGTTAGCTAATCTTGGGTTGGTATTGGATTGGGGTTTGTGTTGGTTGGTTTATGTTGGTGTTGGTGTGGGTTCAATGTATTGATTAGAGGCCAGTGCTGGGCTGGTATGGGGTTAGGAAAAGAGCCCCCGGTGCATCGGGCCTATTATATTCACCAAACATCTACTAACTTCATCTTAACTTCATGCCAACGCTAACTCTGTAGATGCTCCAGAAACCGACTGCTTTATTCGGAGCGAGAAACTATATGTGACACTATGCGCAATAGTGAAATTCAATTACTATCGGCTAAAGGAGAAATTGTCCTGTCCATTGCTTATACAATGCTAGGTGTATGATAGATAATAGCGAAGTGCTTTCTAGGTCGACAGGTAGACATATTTGGTCATGGAAAGCAATATTGAAGTAGATAAGCTAAAATCAAAATAGCCAAACTGGCCAGGTGTTAAGTATGCTTCAAATGAAGTAATAAGGCCCCAGAACCTAGAAAAGGCTCCTAGCATACAGAGAAATAAAGGATGAATTCGAGAGAAAGCATTAACGCAACTTCAAAAGAGCGGGCGTCCATATCAAAAACGCCGATTAAAACATATACAAGTGTGATAAAATAAGAGCTTTATCAAAGCACTAGGAGATAGATCGTGCATAATGAGGGCGGGGATAAGTAAATCTTCCAAAAACAGGCCTTCGAACAAGCTTTGCATGAACAATGACCATGATATCCAAATAAGACCAGGCGGCATTTAAGGCGTCTAATACTCACACTATGTCTAGCTAGCAGATACCCACACTTTAAAAGGATCAGGTACTAAGGTACAACAGAGACAAGACATCTTCTTTTAAGACGACAGGATAATGAATAAAGATATAATTGGGTTAGTATGTATGTTTATTAAGATTGCTCTAATAATTGAGCTTAGTCACAAAAGAAAGCCACGACAGATCTATTGTTGCTTCTTTTATCCAATAATCGTGTTTCTCAAGAAAGGCTCTTAATTCATCCTTGCCTTGCTATCTTCCTCCTAACGTGCTTTTCAGGCGTACTCAGCACACTACATTACAATCGCATAGTTTTGACCCCCTAGGTATACTTGAGACTTCTACACCAAACACCACCCATCTAAATACTAACATTACCTCAGCTAACATCACCTTAACTAACTCAGCTAACATCACCTTAACTAAATACTAACTCAACTAAATACTAACTTAACTAAATACTAACTCAACTAATAACAACAGGTGTTTATTCTTTTTCCATAACATCATATTCAAAAGCTTTCCGAGCCTTTTTGAGCTCTTCGTTGGTGGTTAATAGTTCTTTGGCTCTAGTATACTTCTTGCGATCGCGTTTAACTGTATAGAGTAAATCTTCTGTTTTGGTGCGACCGCGAGATTTAGATACATGCTTGGCTCGCTTAAGAATTCCTTCAAGATAATTACATACATAATCATGAATAACGTTGGCCGAGTCACTACGGGGATTAGTACTATCGCCAAGTGCGTACATAAGCAGTCTAATCTCTCTTAGAAAGTTGGGTTTCTTCTCTTTCATAAAAAGTTCTAATTCGTGGATTTGAAGTTCGTTCGTTGATTGCCTTTAGTACGCCGATATAGCTGAAAGTAGTTTAGACCATATTTGCTACTGTACTCATTTCCTAGGTTTTGGGCTATTGTTTTAAGATCGCATAAGTAGGCTGGGTTGTTTAAGAGAGTAGTAGTTCTAGCAAGATAGATTTCGCGAATGTGCTTGGGTAGTAGGGATAGATCTAGATTAGAAGTGGGATCCCATGGGTCTTGGCCAGTATGGTGGATAACTATAAGTTGGTAGAACAGTCGATTAAGACTATACTTCTTTTCGGTACCAAGGACATTCTCAACATACTCTTCTAGAATTCCAATGTAAACGGGTGGAAGAGATGGAGCTTGAAGAAAGACATCAATAACAAAACTATACTCAGTTTGAAAGATAAATCCAGGGCCAATAGTCTGTTTTAAAAACTCGTGATAGAAGGTCTCTGCACTGGATTTATCACCACAAACAACATAGAGTCTGGCAATAGCTAAGGTTAATTTCTGCTGCTCAGTTATGTCTTTCGTCCGACCTAGTAATTCGGTTGCACAGATTATGGCAGTTGGGAAAGATTTAGCTCTTATCAGTTGAAGTAAATCTTGTTGTAATTCAAGATCTCGCTTTCCTTGGACTGAGTACCGTTTCTGAGTACTCTTCTCCTTAGATAGGACGTACTTCTGTAAGATAAAGATATGTTTATCCATTTAGAACTAAGTATCTAATAACTAAGGAAAATAAAAGAAATGAATTGGAATTGGATTTCGAATTGGTTGGGTTTGTTTTGATTTTATTGGGATATTTTGGAATTGAGTGATACTACTGCAAAATGGGCTAGTAGACCCCTGACCCCGTGTTCTCCAGATCAAGATGGACGAAAATCTGCCAGGAGAAAATGGACCCAAACAATGTAAGAATCCCCGCCCACCAAGAGGCAATTTGTGGACTCCATGTTATCATCCAACGAGCTGCCGATCTACTTCACTTACCGGATCAAGCAGAGACCTTTTTAGCTGAGAATAGAAGACAGGCGAGTGAACTAGGACATCAACTAGCAGTGGCAGTTGGCTATCAAGCTCACTCAGAAGAAGCGCGGCGATTGGGTTGTTTGTTAGCTGGAAATATGCTGATATCACCAGCCGAAACGATTCAGTTTTTAATCAACGCACAAGTATCACCACCTAATCATCTGCGCCGGCAGATTGCTATATTTGTCCAGCAAACACATGCTCGCTTGGTACAAGACAGGAAGAAACTCCTCCAACACATTGCTGATGAACGAAATGTCCTGGAGAAAATCAAAACATCAGATAAAGGCGCCAAAAACGATCCTAAATGGTGCCATGAAATTACTCAGTTGGATGAACAGATGCAGCGAATGCACAATCGTCTTGTGGGAGCACAGATTACAACACAGACCGAACAGCTTCAGCGGCACCAAAGATACCGGTGTCTTCTGCACATTCTAGCCCAAGCAGCCACAATCAGATGCTACTGCAACTTTCAAGCCGGTCTTCGTGTATCCAAACACGCTCTTCTACGCGAATTAGCTTTGCAATCTCTTGAAACAAGAGAGATTTGCTTTCTTAAGGCTCTTCTTCGGTTTTGTCCAAGCACTAGTACCCAGACCAGTATTTGCAGCACATCGGATCGGGTTGGGCTAAGCCGGTATGCCGCCAAAACAAACGAGATCATTCGGCGACTGCATCCAGCCCACTCAGGCCCCTGGTCTAACCAGCCCTCTAAGAAGACCAATGAGATACCAACTAATGATCGCCAATTATGCAACTTGTATTTGGAGGGACAGAGGCGAGTGAATGCGGCTATAGCCGCACACTGTCAGCAAACAAATCAAAGCATCGAAGCGGCATTAAGCGAGGCCATTGCCATTCACTTTCGTCAACTATTCAAAAACCAGAAGGGTGTATCTGATGCCGTTGTAGCTGCTCGAATATCCACAGACGGAGTCTTTGCCAAGGAAGGTCTACTAGGAGGCTACTTCGCCAAATACCATCAGCAGCGAGTGGTTGAGCTATGCTGCACCGAACAAGCGCTAGTCAAGAAGCTAGTACAGACCGCTACCGAAAGGAGTCTTCATCGCTCCACTGGCCTTCTCGAAGGATTTGTGCGCCGTCGCTTGCATAGTCTCATTCGCATCGAGACATTAAGATATCTCAGCGGCCGGCCAAGTGTTAGTGTGCGAGATCTAAGCCGGCGCGGTTTGTTTGGCCATGCGCTTGGAGTTCGCGCCTTTCTAGAGTCGGCTAGGCCGTTAATAGCCTTTGGCGTACTGATATTGCAAAGTCTACCCAGATAGACCAGAAGTAATCAATGCGGCAAGCCTGAATAGTTTCATGTTAAAACTACTGATTAATACCAACACAATAAACCATTTAATTAACGATTATTTAGCAGTGGATTATCTTATAATTATAGGAAGAATCCCAATATTCAGCAGGATGTATTCTGATATTCAGCAGGATATTAAAATCTACTTGTTTATTTTACACACTACAGATAAGTTTCTAGATAAGGAATCGTCACATGATTGTTGAGTGCGAATGAGAAGACAAGTAACACAAGGCGTTGCTGAAGGAGTGCGCGAAAACATTAGATGTGCCAATCGTGCTTGGGAAGAGATAATACTTACGCACATGTTATTAGCCAGATAAGAGTGGTCCAGTCTAGAGAAATAAGATGAATAATGTAGGCGAGGCTATTGCTGGGTTGTTTCTTTTATGGGAAGGCTTTCACGAAAACCGGTAGATAAAGCTAGTGCTATTGTTTCTAAGAACATCAATCGCTATCTAGATAAATTTGCATTGGTTTTTAGGATTATGTCTTATCTTAGCAGGATGGTTGTTATTTCTGTAGTAAAGCGTCAGTTGTTTATCCATGGGGTGTATGTTTTACTGATATTTTGGAGTGGTGTTAGTGCATCAAGTAGTGAATCCGGGTTAAACTTACCAGACGTGTCAAATACAGCAGCTCAAATAGCTTTCCCAAGTTCAACCGAGATAACCAAGACCTTGAATGGGCTTGGGTTTGAGTTTTCCGATGTATCTGAAAACATTGAGGTTATACCTTATCGTCCGACCCGGCCAATTGAACAGCCGGCTGACTTAAATTCAGGGCCAGACCGTTTTAATCCAAAAACAAACGTCCCCAAATACAGCATAGATTGTTCAAAAGGATCACTCATGTTTAAGATGATAAACTACACAAGTATTGAGCAGGCCGAGGAAACCTTATATCTGTTGAGAGAGATTGCCTTTATTAGAGTTATCACTGTCCAGGTTTGTGCGCAATGGCATGGTACAGACTTACATGTGATAAAGATACAGATTCTGAGCCGAGTCATCAATATGTTTGATTGCGTTGTGCTGGAGATTGCGGTAAAGATTGAGGGAATAAGTGAAATGTATGTCCACACAACTAATCAGTTTGCCATTCTGGCCGAAGTCGAAAACACAGCTCAGCATGTTAACTATATCACAAAGTGCCAGCTAAACATCGCAACAGAAATAGATGGCAGTTTTTGGAATATGATCAACTTTGGAGCTATTCTATGGCGGCCAATTTCGACAGTTATACTGAACGATGATGACCTATGTAACATACGTCTCCTTAACCATTTAGTATTTGAAAAAGACTACGCTATTAGTGTTCAGATTTATAGAGAGGAGTGTAACATTGATTTCCACTTTATCAAGCACAGCATGTTTCGATGTGGCAAGATCACTATCACGAGTTACCGTCAAGATAATAAGATAACAATATCTGGCCTTGAGCATGCCAGGGAATGGCATCATACTATAAAGCTGGAGACAAGCTGGGCCGTTTTTCAATACCTGTGCAAGCACAATCCAGTCCCAATTCACATTGCTACGTTCGTATGTTTGGAGTTCGACACCGAATCAGCCCAGGAAATAACTGCCGCCTCTCAAATAACAACAAAACCCCCAGCTTGTATCTTTGCGCATCGGATTATTTCCAAGCTCGGGATTAGGGAGCCTTGCAAGGAACAGAGTTACTACATCAATCTATACACCAAATCGGCCTATGCGGCTATGGGCCTTTCAGTTCATAGGGTTCAGTTCTGTTATAACCCCAAGCGATCCGATTTATATGACACCATGCACCTGTTTGTCAAAATCGGAGCATTGAATGCACTGCCGGAGGCTATTAAGACGGGCGATGTTGCTTGTATAGGCCAAGAAATATATAAAGGTGGGTGGAAGATTCAAAACCCGCTTATAATTCAACTCTATAATCCTCAGCTAAATAACGAAATCGAGACATACAAGAAGAAATATACCTTCTTCTGCCAGAATATATGCTACATAGCCATCAAGATTATTGGGAGTAAAATTCCAAATCCAGACCAGGTAGACAGGTGCCTAGAACTTCTATTGTTATTTCGAAACATTAATGTCGAAGGACTTAAGATCATAAATGTGCGCAGTGATAGCCAAACAACAACCAATTTTGATGGGAGCACTTTACGACAAGAAGCCGCTAAGATGCCCAAATACCATATCCAAGGTCCTGCAATATTAATCTTATCCAACGTTGATGAGCGGATTCTTTATTGGATGTTAGGAAGGTATATCTTTGATACGCCCACAAACATATATATTTTGAACCAACACTTCAGGAATCTGGCCATTGCCGAGGTTGCCTCTCTTTCAAGTGCCGCCCAACTCCAACTCCTCACTATAAACAATCTCGCTGGACTGGTTGAGATAGTGTCAGACAGAGACCAAAGTCAAAGCAGTGGCTTCTCGCTGTTTAAACGTATCAAAGAAGCAAGCCAGACACCCAACTTACTTAAATCACTTAATCTACACAAACTAGCACTGCATGCCGATACCATTGATCTTTCTCTTTATGATAAAGCCATCCGCAAGCTTTTAGACTACAACGTTCAACTTGTATCTATGCCGTTTAATTATTATCGAAGACTCATGGTCGAGTATTACAAGGGCAACCCCATAACCAACACAACGCTTACCCTTTATACAGTCAAGTTATCCACTATAGAGACTGAGCTCGCCCATCACCAACCTAATAGCCCAATACAATCATCCGACCAAGTACAATTCGTTAAGACATTAACGCTACTCTTTAGGGATAGAAAGCCGGTAGTTGAAGCGGATATAGTAACGACTGTCCGATGGGCAGCCTGTTACTTTAAAAACTTAATCGCTTTTCGGCTGGGTAATATTGATATCTCAGAAAATGAGCGCAAGACTATAATTGCGCGAGACTATTTAGTTAATGACTTGAATTTACTCCGCTCTATTCAACTAGAAAGCATTGTTGCCAAGAACCGACTGGACTTTTTAACAATAAGGCCATACCGTACTAGTTTACTGTGCATGTCCCACCATTCTTCGACCAACTTTATCGTCCTCCCATACACAATGATTTCTCGGCTCGTTATAAACACCAAACTACTTGACAACATCGTATCTAACCAACATATCTCCGCAGCAACCCGTCTTGGTATCACTAGGTATCTTGATTTGCACGGCACCGCCATCAATTGCCCAGTTTGTGGTCGAGAGTTTTATCAACCCCAGAGTGAAGTGGATGGCACTAGTCCATTTGATAAATTCGATCACGAGAACAACTTCGTCGCCCTTTGCCATTTCAGTTGCGGCCACCCGGTCTGTCATACCTGTGTGGACAAGCTTAGCCCCAGAAATAGATGTCCAATCTGCCGCTACGAACAAAAGACGATAGACTTCAACCAACTGATCGGCATACCCCTAGCTAACTTTGCCGTTGCTAAAGACAACACCACAAGAACCATCACCGATAGTAGCTGGTACAGAAGTAAAGTAGAAGGAGATGGATTTGTTTATTTCTATCTAAGAAATCAAAGTGCATGCGCTCTTTCTGTCGATCTTAGGAAAGAGACCTCCTATAATACCTCCGAAAAGGTCTACGTTATCTAAGCCGAAACCAAATAAATCAACCAACTGTTTCCTTATTTAAACCGGATTAGATACAACTAAACCAACATTATAATCATCTCCAATTACTCACCCACCATTCCCAACTCAACTCAACTCAAACCAACTCAACACCACCCCACCCAACCCAACTCAACCCAACTCAACGTAATACTAATCAAATACTACCGTGAAGTAAATCTAAACCAATACCGTGAAGTAAATCTGAACCAATACCGTGAAGTAAATCTAAACCAAGAATGTTTATTCAAACCCAATAGATTATCGACTTGTTTTAGTACTATATTGCTATCAAGGCCTAAGTTGGTAGTATTTATTCAAATCAGATAAATGAAGGGCACCAATCCACTGATAAACCAAAACAAATCAAAATAACAACCTAGACCAAAACTCGATCTAGGCACTGCCGTACGCTTTCAAAATCTCCTGGTGGAACTCAGTCGTGATCTTCTTCCTAATCTTCTTACCCGATGGAGTCAAAAGTCCATCCTCAATGGTAAAAGGAGTCGTTGTAAAGACAAACTTCTTAGGAACCTCTATTTTGATGAGCTCACCACCTAGCACAAGCTTTTCACCCTCACTTATAATACTTTGCTGCACATTATCCGAGTTGACCTTACTCGACTCTTTGATAACACAAATAGCAACCACAAAGTCTTTAGAACTATCCCCAGTAATAGTGATGTCTTCTAAGCCGTAAATCTTGCGGTCCATAATTCGGTTCTCTATCTTCTCAGGCACAATGTACTCGCCTTGGGACAGTTTAAATATCTCTTTAGACCGCCCAATAATACGTAAATTACCTTCGGCTGTGATTTCACCAATATCACCTGTTTTGACCCATTTTGTGCCATCATGGTTAAAAGAATCCTTACTATCTGAAGATAGGAAAACCTCATTAGTTAAACCCGGTTGTTTGTAGTACCCAATAAAGACGGAAGGACCTTGCATTAAGATCTCGCCTTGATTATTAGTCGCTAGAGCATTAGACTCAGGCCGAGAGATCAGCTTAACTCGATTACACAGAAAAGGAATACCCAGGACACCTTTCTCTTTAGTACTTACGGTAGTGGTAATATTCCCAGCTGCAGTTTCTGTTTGGCCATACCCTTCAAACAACTTACAATTGAAAACTGCTTCAAAGAACTCAGCCGTTTCAATGGAAAGAGGGGCTGATCCCGATAGCATACAAGTAATTGAACCGCCAAAAGTCTGACGAATAGCTCTAAAAACAGATAGACCAAATATCTCACGTACGTATCGGTTCTTAAAGTACCTACATACCTTAAGAGACGCATTAAAGATAGCATTAGCAACTCGCCCTTTCTCTTGGGCACGTGCTTCAATAGCTGCTTTAACTGAATTAAACACTCGTGGTACTCCCACAAAGTAATGGGGCTTAACCAGAGCAAAGTCTTTCTGGAGTTCTTTAGGAATCCCACGGTAATAAACAATAGAACAGCGACTCAGTAGTAAAGAAGTTTCTACAATCCGTTCAAAAACATGGGCTAAAGGTAAAAAGGATAGATAGCGATTACCCTCCTCAATATCAAACAAAACATTGTTTTGAGATAACAAAAGGAAAGATCCGGCTACTGAAATGAAGTTCCGATGGGTTAACATAGCACCTTTAGGGGCACCAGTCGTTCCACTGGTATAACAAATTGTAGCTAAACTATCTGGAGTAGGCTTTTTAAATTGCTTGCGCCGGGCTTGATTCTGAGCAGTAGTATCTGGCTTAGTTTGACCTCTAACGGGTTTGGTTTTTGGCTTAGTAGGAGGCTTATCACTGGTTGTTTTTTGGGCCGCTGGTTGGACTTCTTGGCATTTGGCTAAAATATCCCAGAAATACTCTATTCTGATGTTGTGACTTTTGATAATTTCTTCGGTAGTTTTAGAGATATCAGAGTCCATAAGAATAAACATTTCAGGCAGGACAATTTGAGTATCTACTTCTTTCTCTATACCCGCAGCAATCTTATCGAGGTTTTTCTTAGAAACAAAGACTATTTGCATTTCGGTCTCAGATAAGATATGTTTAGTAGCACTCCAGCCAAAAGAAGCATAGATCGGACAATTAATGCCATCAAAGAAGTATGTGGCATGTTCAGCAATAACCCATTCTGGACGGTTTTCAGCACAGATACCAATAACTGGATTAGAAGAGGTAGTAATATGTTGGACTAAAAAGGCGGCCATCTCTTCAGCATACTCACGGACTTCCTGGTAGGTCAAGTACTCAATGGTCTCTTCTCCGGTGATGTATCCCAGGAAGTTTAGCTCACCATAACTTTCAGCGGCCAGATTAAGCGCTTCGTATAGGGTAGTTGCCTTGCCGGCAGTCTCTATCAATTTGCCCTGGAGAGCATCTCGAACCATTGAATGGATGTATACGTCTGTTTCTTCAGTAGGTGAAGTACTTCTGGACTCTTTTATCATAGTATAATTCGATCTCATGGTAAAACATAAAAACAAGAAAGTTTATTAGTGGTGGCGTTGGTTTAGATTGTCTATTGCTGGGGTTAGTATTGGGTTTGGATAGGGTTGAAGGTCTGGAAGGTTTAGTTTTGGTTTGGGAGAGTTTGAGTTGAATTGGTTTAGTTTAGTTTAGTTGGTTTAAGTTGGTTTAAGTTGTGATAGTGGTGGGATAGTGGTGGGTTGTTTTGATTTTGATTGTAGTATGTGGTGAGGTGGTGTTGAGTGGAGTGGGGTTATGTGGGGTGGAGTTGAGGTGAGGTGAGGTGCTAATACAGTTGGGAGTTGTGAAGTGGTTGGTGTTTGGAGAAGAATGTTTGAGTCTGGACGAATGAAATATGGATATAAACCTGCAGTTGCAACTGGAAACATGCAGCCCAACAGCAGAATAACAGTAGCGGTTAGAGCACGAGCACAACCGATAGTTGGGAAAAAGTCGGAGTGTGAAGGTATAGATAGAGTCTTTTCCTTGGAAACAAATCGAGAGATATATTTGGAGTTAGTGAAGCCTTATATTGCCCGACTTGAATTTTCAACAATCTTTACTTATGGTCGGACTGGTAGTGGTAAAACTTACACTATGTTTGGAAATTCTGGGGATCCTGGTCTGGCCCAATTACTACTGAGTGATCTAGTATCTATGTACAAAATTGTCTCGGTTCGGTGTATTGAGATATATAATGAAATTGTCACTGATTTAATAACTGGAGAGCCCGTTCGCATTATTCAGGAAAGTTCACGAACTCGTGTGCTTAGCGATAATCTAACTGTAATCAAAAGCGAGCCAGAAATAAACCGACTGATCCAGCAAATCGAACAGAAAAGAAAGACCTCCCAAACTGAGTACAATCGCGAAAGTAGTCGTAGTCATACGGTTATTGAAATAACTTCAGCCGGACTTTGTGTTAATCTAGTTGATCTGGCCGGTAACGAAAAGATCAGTCTCTGCGAACAAAGAAGGAAAGAAGGTCTCATGATTAATAAGAGTCTACTAACTCTTGGTAAAGTCATCGACCAACTTAATGATTCAACTCAACATGTCTCTTACCGCGAGTCCAAACTCACCCGTATTTTACAAAACACTCTAACTAGCGGCACGATTGTTTGTATTTGCACAGTCATTGATATGGCCGACCAACTAACCTTAAAGTTTGCCAAACGTCTCAAACGCATCAAAGGCATAGAAAGACAACTAGAAAAGTCCAAAGACGAGATTATCTACGATCTCCAACAACAAATCCAGTATCTAACCGAAGAAATCCTTCTCTTAAAAACCAACGCAACTCCAGCACCAGATACTATCTCCAACCCACCTAACACCGACTTAGCCATAGAAGAAGTACTATCTAATGAAGAGTTGGGGTCTAATGAAGAGATAGGATCTAATGAAGAAATGGGGCCTAATGAAGAAATAGTATCTAATGGAGAAGTACCACCAACAGTGGATATAATCAAGCAAGATCCAACCTTTCCCAATAAGTCAGCATCCTTTCGTGGCCAATCTCACCCATCTCTCTCACCTGAACACCCCGAGGACTCTTTTTCTAGCCTACATACTAGCTCTGATTATTCTGACAACGTAGACATACTAAACTCATCACAAATTGAAGAACCCAACCCAACCCAATCTTCGCAGCATCCATCCCATGCTAACCTCTACGAAATGATCTACTACTACATCAAAGATGAAGTTACCCAAGAAATGGCCAACCTACTAACTCCACAAGAAATAGACCAAGTCCATGTCACAGTCACCAAAAGAAGAGCCGGTATCCGCGACGGCTCCGAGTTCAAAACCATCGTCAAGGAATCCCGAACCGAAATCAAACCCTATGAGCCCGAGCCAAGCACCGAGTACTAACTTCACTAACCACCAACCACACACTCACCAACCCAGAACTAATAAACAACTTGGATTTACTTACTCTAACCCACTTTATTATCACAACTACTCACTTACTCAGTTACTCATTCAGTTACTCATTCACTCACCAACCCAACCCAAACCAACCCAAAAACATAGATATAGATATATAGATATATAGATTATAAACATTAGATATAGATATTAGACAAAGCCATTAGATATTAGATATACCCTTTAGATATTAGCCACTAGACATTAGATATACCCAGTAGATCTTCACAGTAGACATTAAACAAACCCAGTAGACATTCCACATTCCACATTAGACAAACACAGTAGACAAACACATTAAACAGTAGATATTATTTGAACCAGTTTATTGAACTTACCGCCTCCACCAGCCAAACCGGCCCCAAGGCTCTAAAGACTACCCTAAAAACACCATCCTAATCTTATATCCTAATTACTTCTCCTTACGAGTAGTCGCTCGATTAATTGCTACTTCTGAAGCCAAAATAGAGTATTCATTCATATCTTCACCAGTCTGTGACTCTTTAGCAGCTACTTCACAAGAAAGAACAAACTTATTAACTCGACCTACTTCATCACCACTAAAAATACTATCATTAACCTCTTTCACCTGCACAATCTGATCAGTATCTTCTATCTGTGAAATAGATAAGTTCATAATATCTAAAGATAAATTAGCTAAATCATTCTCATTCTGATCTACTCCAGACTCTTTCTCCTTCTTAGTTATACAAGATGGAGTTTCAGCCCCTTCTCGCAATCTCTTCTTACTTAAAGGAGTCTTACGTGGCGTACTTTTCCGTAAGACTTCTTCTATCTCCCGCTGGTGTTCTTCCAAGCGAATACCTACTCGTTCAATTGAGTAGCCAGGTTTAAGAGTCGGTTTAGGTTCAGGCACTGGTCTACTTGGCATAGCAAAAGCCCTAATTGGACCTCGTACAACCACTCCACTACCAGAATCCTTTATCTTAATGTAAGCCTCCCGTTGAGGAGTCACTACAGAACTAATAACACTAGCCACTGGCTTATCTCCCACTTCCTTATCTAAACTACTACTTAAGTTATTACTTATCTTATCTAAACTATTACTTATCTTATCTCCACTTAAATTAACAACTAAACCACTACCAATCTTATCTCCACTTAAATTAACAACAACATCTTTGACGGGAATGAATTTGGCTATCTTTTCGGGTAAACGCTTAATCATATCAACAAATAACTTGCGATCAAAATCAACTAGATCTCTGATACCTGCTCTGGCCTTTTCTCTTACCTCTACTGCTGCATCTCCAGCTGCTATCTCTAGTACTTCTAAGTACTCTCCTACTACTTCGTGTCTTAGTCCTCTTAAACTTGCTTCTACTACTCCTAGTCTTACAATCTTACTAGGACTGTTCATAGAAGATCTTAAGTATCGACTGACTATCTTTAAATTACAATGACTACTAACTATCTCTAAAGTACTTAAAGCCCGACTAGAAATAACCTTATTTGTCTTACCTAGAGATAAGATTAAGGCTGGAATAACAAAAACTAACAGATCTTTCATTTGATTTTTCAAAAGTTCTGATAAGCGGGCTAAACATCGGCAACCAGTGCCACTTAATTTACTACGATTACTTTGAATCCCCATACAGACTAATTTACCTAAACTTAAAGCATCTAAAGCTTCTCTTTCTTTTTCAACTTCAGAAATTCGACTTAAAACAATATCTATCTTATTCCAATTATTCTCAGACTCTTTTTCCTTTTGTAGTAATAAACCTTTGCTAATCGCTTCCCCAATGTTTTGAATACTCTTCATAGGACTAAAAAAATAATAGAACTTCAAATAAGTTGATATTGCTTTAGGATTTGGTTGAGTATTTGGTTTGGGTTAGGATTGGTTGATGGTGTTGGTTTGAGTTAGGATTGGTTGGTGATATTGGTATTGGTGATGTTGTTATTGGTGAAGTATTGGGTTAGTTGAGTTTGAGTAAAGTAAAGTAAGGGGATAGATAAAAATCAACTTGTTATTTCAAAATTATACTTGTATTGAGTTGAGTTTGATTGAGTTAGGTTGATATGAGGCTAGTACATTTAACTATATCTAAACCTAATATAAACCTAATATAAACCTAATCTAAACTCAAGTTAATATTAACTTAATGTAATGTTATAGACCAGCACTACTCCATCCTTATACCAACTCATTTATTCATTGTCCCAACGCATTAGTATTGAGTTATGATTGGATTAGGCGAGAATTCGAATCAGATCAAAATTTAACCCAGTAGTAGTCGGATTATTAAAATTTGATTATGACGTCATCATCGCATCCATCATTGTCTACATTCAATAAATAGTCGAATGTGTATTAGTTAAGTATTAGTTAAGATGGAGTTGGTATTAGATTGGTATTGAGTTAGTATTAGTTAAGATGGAGTTAGTATTAGGTTAGTATACTATATCTAAACATAAACATAACATAAACAGAGTATAAACATAGTATAAACTAACCCTTATCTAAACATAATATAAACCCAATCTAATCTAATCTAAACATAACTGTCATGCCCATGGGGGGGAAAGGTCCCTCTTAGACCAGCAGTACTCATCCAAAGAGAAAGAAAGGTGCCGGACTCTCTGTTCTTTATTCATGTATGAGCTTCTTGGGTGCCACGGTTGGCGATCAAGAAGGTGTAACGTCTCGGACGCTTCCCTTTAGATCCTTCAGTTAGAGACTCGCCTCTTTCCGTCAGATATCTAACGCTCGTTTGTCTAGGTGAGGCTTAGATGCTTCCCATGGAGGGACCTCTAGAACCTCCGTATCGCAATAACTAATCTCTATATCGTTGAGACCTAGATGTATCTCTGCGGAAGATCCCTAGAGTCTCGAGTTAGACGAAATCTAGATGTATCTCTGCGGAAGATCCCTAGAATCTCGATATCGCTACGTTGATCTCGGTCTCGTTGAGATCTAGATGAATCTTGTGGAAGACCTCTAGAATCTCGGTATCGCTCTCTTCTTATCTCCATCCGAATTCCTTATCTTAATCTGAATTTCCTTGATAGCAAAACTTGCTACTCCTTATAGTTCTAATGCTGATCTAATAGTTGTAGATTCACGACTAATTAATTGCTTATCTCAGATCTCCCAGGATTGGGATTGAAACATCACGTAACTTAGATGATGTCGAACAATAAAGGTTAATCTCTTAACGCTTTACTATTCCTCGCTCCTCGTCCGCTAATTAAATAGTGTTGGGAATTCTCATGCACAACA